GTGTGAAGATCTTCCGGTTTCACCGAAGAATACTACTTTTAGAGCCGTAGTGCTTCCCGATCATCTTCTGATCATGTGAGTGTATATTCCCTTTCTTCTAACAGATAGATATGAAGTATCTACTTTAGAATACGTGTTACGTGTGTAGAAATATACGTGTATATATATGTTATATGTTTATTTGAAATGAGTATTGAATGAGTATCTTATCAGTTTTTAAGTTGCATATTAATGCATATGTATGTTGTTATCTACAAAAATGTTGGGTAGAACTTGGGTAGATAGTTGATGTGTGATAAACTGATGAGAGACCTCGATGTGATTGTGATCTAGTCGTCTAGCAGAATATGGATGACGACCACAGACTTTTCTAGACAGTTCAGTGGAACGCTGGTAGGCTCATAACCTGTAGGTGTAGTGAACTTGGGTGTTCATTTGCTGTATTCTATCCCCCTCATGGTTGCCTTAGGACATTCATTGTTGAGGAAACCCCTTTGCAGTATTGTCCGTCCCGATGAAAATCCTAGATTAGGTCCCTTGTAATAGTTGTTGTCATAGGGACGTAAAGTGAGGATAACGGGAATGGGTAATCGGGTTATTGTTGGTTGGTGAAATTAAATAGAATTATTTATTGTGGGTTGAAAACCCTATATGCTCACCAGGCTCCCAAGCCTGACCCACTCAGTTTCTTCGTATTACAGGTAGTGGCGCGAGAGCATAAGTTGGAGAACTTGTGAAGATATTTTTGGTTTATAGACCCTGTAGTTGTATATAACTGTTGTAAGGTCTATGTTTATTGTTTATGATTTTGTGTCTGTAGGGAACATGACATCCCGAGTTGGTGATATATAATGAAGATACATTTCTTTAAGAAATGCTTTGATAAACTTATTTTATCATGTATTGTTTTGGGGACAAATTCCGCAACTCTTTTAAATCAATGGATTTACTCTGAAATTATTTTAAAAGAATAAATGAAACCGGTCTTTTCTGGTCGCGATTTGGGGATGTCACACCCACACTCAGCTAACTATGAGCTACGGGCCTCGCCCACACTCAACTATCTATGAGATACGAACGCCTCCCACACTCAGCTATCTATGAGATACGTGCCTTGCCCACACTCAGCTATCTATGAGATACCATCCTTGCCCACACTCAACTACTAAGCACACATACAAGTATCACACAGACAACAAGTATAACCAAATATATCAATCAGTACTCTATCCATACCCAAATAATGCTATGAGATACGGGCCTCGCCCACACTCCGCTATCTATGAGATACAGGCCTCGCCCACACTCAACTACTAATCAATACAAATAACATATACAAACCGGCCTTGGTGCCTTCGACCCGTTCAAACCAGGAGGAAACTCACCTCACTGTCGGATGATAGCTGAAATGTCTCTGCCCGGAATCAACTCTACTCACTCCCTAAACCAAAACAACCCCTTAGATACCTTTCCATACTCATAACCCTTAAGGGTCAACTCTGGTCAAGTCAAAGTCAAATTCAAGTTAAAGTCAATGCTCCGAGTCGACTCAACTCATCGAGCTTACCCTTCAACTCGTCGAGTTCTCATGAATCACAGAATCGTGAAATCGCGATCTAAATCGTCGATTTTTCCTCCAACTCACCGAGTTCCTCCTTCTCAACAGAAACGAGACTTTCCCAATACAACTCGTTGAGTTCCCTTGTGGACTCGCTGAGTTCCATTAACAGAATCGGGAATGTTCGACCCAACTCGTCGAGTTCCTCTATGAACACGTTGTGTTCCTCGCATTTCTAATCTATTCATCCATTTCCTCAGATCTAAGGTTCCAGAATATAGACCTACATTGTTTCCATGACATATTTTTGTAAATTCGACCACTTGATGGCTTTACATGTCTCAAATGGACCCAATCTCGAGATATAGCAACCTACTTCTATGGATATGGTCTTTTCTTGGACATTAATGGGTTTAAGACCCTTTTATGAATCTAAGGACCAAATAACACTGAGAATGGGAGTTTGTAGCATCAGGACTATGAAGGTTTATCATGCTTCCAACAATGGGGTCAAAAAAGACCCATAAAACAAGACTAATAGAGATCTATGCTATTAATCATCAAGTTAGGGACTTTTTACCTCAGAAAGTTGCCAAATATGGACGAGATCCCAGATCTAGTGCTTCCCCTCAAGCTCAATGACCTTCTAGTTCTTCCAAGTCCTTCACCAAGCACAAAAACACATAAAAATCCACTTAAAACCTCAAGTTTCTCACCAAGGAGCTCACACTACGATTTAGGGTTTCAGGGAGGCTAATGAGGGCTGGTGGGGAAGGATTAAGTCCTTTAAATGGGGTGCAGAACCCTGGAAATTAGGGTTTCATCCCAGCCGGTCTACTCGTCGAGTTGAGGCCTCTCAACTCGTCGAGTAAGTTACTTAAATCACGCGGTCCTGATAATCTCTACTCGACGAGTTTGGGGCTTCCAACTCGTCGAGTTGCTTTGTAAATATGAATAAATTATAGATTAAATACATACCAGGATCCAGGCGTTACAGATGGGGTTGTGTTTCCGGTGAAATCAAAAGAGGCAGCAACCTCTTGGCATTTTCCCCTCACCTGCACTGTTGTGGCTGCTTGCCTTGCTCCTCTCGGGCCAGCCTCCTCCTTTCCTTTCGTATTGAACTCCCGGAGTAGAAGCGAAGCAGTTGGGAAGCTGCTTGAGCATCCCCTCGCTACCCCTTATGAGATCGACAATAACTCTATTGCTTCCATCCTTCTCCTTTCTTTAATCGAACCGAGAACCGGTGGTCTTTTTCCCCCTCCTCTTTGCGATCAATCTGCCACCACCGAGCCCTCCTTCTTTCCCTTTCTTCTTCTTCGTTCCCTGCCAAAAATAACCACCAGGAGGGTCTGATTTAGACGGAGCGGTTGAGACTGATGTACAGATGAGGGAGGCGTGCCCTAGGTATAGAGAGAAAGAGAGAGAGAGAGGCGAGAAGGTGAGAAGTGGAGAGAGAGAGGGAGAGAGAGGGAGAGAGAGAGATGATATTTGAAAGGAAAGATTGTGAGAAAGTTATGAATTAATAAAAAAATTCATTACTATTACACCCTTTTCACTGTTTTAAAGTTACACTTTAATACCAATAAATTTCATAATTTACATAAATGGTCTGTCTGATAATAACCTTAGATTTGAATATTTAGATGGTCTAGATTTGTTCTCGCGTTTTCAACCTTTTTGATGTTCTTATTTGATCATACTCATATATATATATATATATATATATATATATATATATATATATATATATATATATCTATATATATATATATATATATATATATATATATAACTTAAGACGATTTATGTTCACATTTGACGTCAAATACAAGCGTTAGGGCCATGACATGCCATGACAAAGTTGTAGCGAACTTTTTAAAACCTTGATAATATTCTATATATAAGAAGGTAAAAAGTATATTGGCAAGAAAATTAATTATTAAAAACAAGAATAAGATGTTTAGTAATTTATGATAAAATAAAATAGACTAAGTATATGATTCTAAGTTATTCAAGTCACAATAGTCAATCTAGGAATTTATGTCCACACAATTCCTAAATATGTAAAGAAAAAAACACACAGTACAACACTTGCTAGTAATGAAAAAAAAAAACATTCCTACTACCTAACACAACACACTTTGGCACCATGGTAATAGCATCGTCAACACTTGCTAAACAAAGAAAAATAATTATGAGAGTAATGTTATATATTCTTAAATAATTTTAAAAATCATTAATTTAAAAATCTAAACAATCATTTATAAATATGATTTAAACAAGTTAGCTTTTTTTTTTTCTTGTTTTTCATAAAAGAAATATAACATTATTCCCATCAAAGGCCAAATGCAAACACTAAAACATATAAAATCATCTCTCATTCCTTATCTTAAACACAACTCATCATCCACTAAAACTATCCAAACAAGCAAATATTAGGCTTCAAGCTGAAATAGCTTTTTAAGGTTAGGCACAATTACATGTTTTATATATATATATATATATATATATATATATATATATATATATATATATATATATATATATATATATATATATATATATATATATATTCAAGTGAAGACACTATATAAAATAAGTGAAATGTAAAGAAACTATTTTATATATACTTATTTTGCATCATTATTAAGCAATAAAAGTATGAATAATCAAACATTAATATATATATTAGATTAATTTATGAATAATCATTAGTTATATTCACATTATAATCTACAAAACATATACACAATTCATACGTTAATCGAATATTACGTATGATTATTTATATATGTATTGTTGAGTAATATGTGAAAATATTCAAATTTGTATAATCTTGTTTGTGCCTTTGTGGTCGAACTAATTCTTAACATTGTCAAACAGATTTTGACCAAAGCTGTTTACGGTTCCATTATGTTTGGTTTGGTTTTGAGATTAGATTATGCGTTATGACACTCTTACATTTTCCCGCATATGATACATTTATAATACTCGTAGCTACCTGCAATCTTTTTAATTGAATAGATCCTTGTATTTTATGTATCTCTTATTCAAAACTAAGTAAATATTAACTATGATTGGTCGTGTAGGTAATAATTATCAAACTTTGAATAACACAAATATAATTTTAAAAATTAGTTAATAAAAAATAGAGATACTCGATATAATGATAAATTTAAAACAGGGTACCACCATAAATAAAGTTAAACCCAATAGTATTTTAAAATTTCTCCAAATATATAACGGCGGATACAGCGTACCATATTTTCCCACGCGGCCAACTCTCATTCGTTGACTTTAAATAGTCAAATGAACGCCAAATATTAAGTTAGGCATAAACCCAGATTAATTAATCTAATCACCTTCTTAATCTACTCCACCTATATATCCATCTCCTGTTCCCTTCATTCCTACATCACCTTCTCTAGTTCTCTTCATAATGAATCCACATAAACTCCATTACCTTTTCTTCTGCACATTATTGTGTTCAATAGTTTCAGGAAGCATAAAAGCTCAGATTTTTAATGAACGAGCTTCTCTCCTCACGTTCCTTTCCGGGATCACTTCCGATCCCGGGAACGTTTTTCAGAGCTGGAACAGCTCTATGATTCCGGTATGTAACTGGACCGGAATCACATGCAACAGGAATCGTGATTTTGTTCTCGAGTTAGATCTCAGCGGATCTTCGCTCCACGGAAATATATCTCCCGCCATTTCTGAACTTTCACAATTAACGGTTTTGGATCTTTCCAGAAATTTCTTCGAGGGTGGCATTCCGGGAGAAATCGGGTATCTTTCCGAGCTCAACCAATTAAGTTTATCGTCCAATCTTTTACATGGGAGTATCCCGCTCGAATTAGGATTTCTTTCTAAGATACAATATCTTGATTTGGGAAGCAATATGCTCGTTGGAGACATTCCAATGGCGCTTTTTTGTAACGGGACATCGGTCTTAGAGTATGTTGATATATCGAATAATTCGATTAGTGGTCCGATTCCATTGACCGAAGAATGTGAAATCCAAGAGCTACGGTTTCTTTTGGTTTGGTCGAATAAGCTTACGGGAAGGGTCCCAAGAGCCTTAGCGAATTCTTCAAAGCTTAAATGGTTGGATTTGGAGGTGAATGGTTTCGAAGGGGAGTTACCATTTGAGATTGTGAAGAATTTATCAAACTTGCAGTTTGTTTATTTATCTTACAACCGTTTTTCGGGCCCACTCGAGCCATTCTTTTCGGCTTTAAGTAACTCCCCATATTTACAAGAACTCGAGTTAGCGGGAAACAGACTTTTTGGAAAGATTCCCGATGTTATCGGGAATCTTCCGAAGAGTTTGGTCCAGTTGCAACTTGATGACAATCAGATATCCGGAGAGATACCTCCGGATATCAATAACCTTCTGAATCTCACCCTTCTCAACTTGTCTAGAAACCTCTTAACAGGAAAGATCCCGCATGAACTATGCCTAATGGAGAATCTCGAACGGCTTTACTTATCAGATAATTTGCTCTCCGGTGAAATCCCATCAGCTTTTGGGAATGTTTCGCGATTGGGTCTTCTTGATTTGTCAAAAAACCGACTGTCGAACTCGATTCCCGACACTTTCTCGAATCTGTCGCAATTACGGAGTTTGTTGCTTAACAACAACAGGCTCGTGGGAACAATTCCCTCAAGCCTGGCACAATGCGTAAATTTGGAGATTCTTGATCTTTCGTATAATCAAATTTCTGGTTTGATTCCGAGCGATTTTGCAAGATTGAACAGCTTGAAATTGTACCTAAACATCTCACACAATCACCTGAATGGACCTCTACCACCGGAGCTCAGCAAGATGGACATGGTTCTTGCCATGGATTTATCATCAAACAACTTTTCCGGTGAGATTCCATCACAGCTTGGAAGCTGCATTGCGCTCGAACACCTCAATCTCTCCGGGAATGCACTCGAAGGCCCTCTTCCCGATTCAATCGGGAAGTTGCCATTTCTTGAAACATTTGATGTTTCATTGAACAGATTGTCTGGAAAGATACCAGTATCTTTCCAGACATCTTCAAAGTTGAGACAGGTCAACTTCTCATATAATAACTTCTCTGGGAACGTATCTTTTCTGTTTCTTGATATCAATTCTTTCCTTGGAAACCCAGGGCTCTGTAGTGGTGGGATCGAAGGGATGCCAAATTGCAAGAACAAGCAGAAAAAACACTCGATTCAGCTGTGGGTTTTGCTTACCCTACTTGCCGTAGCCACCTTAATCATGTCTATGATTCCTGTAGTTTTCAAATGGAAATCAAAAAATAAATTTTCAAAAAACTTCAGCCGGAAAATTGGGTATGAAGAGAACGACGAAGAGGAAAGAAATGAACAGAACTACCCAAAGATCTCTCATCAAGAACTCATGGCAGCAACAAATGGATTCAGCAGATCGAATCTAATCGGAACAGGCCAATTTGGGCAAGTATACAAGGGAATTCTTAAAGACAACACGAAGATCGCGGTGAAAGTTATATCTTATACAAAAACCGAGGAAAGCTCTGGGAGTTTCAAGAGGGAATGTGAAGTTTTGAAGAATACCCGACATAGGAATCTAATACGGATCAAAACGATCTGTAGCAGACCTGATTTCAAGGCTCTCGTTCTGCCTTTGATGCAGAACGGGAGCCTTGAGGACCATTTGTATCCAAATGATGGTCTAAGCCGTGTGAATTTGGTACAAATGGTTCGCATTTTAAGCGATGTGGCTGAAGGGTTAGCCTATTTGCATAACTATGCTCCTGTTAAGGTGGCTCACTGTGATCTCAAACCAAGCAACATTCTTCTCGATGATGACATGAACGCTATAGTTTCAGATTTTGGGATTGCTAAATTGGTGAAAGAGGATCACGAGAAGATCCCGATGGCAGTTGGTGAGCCCCCTTCGGTTAGCTCGACCGATGGACTGCTTTGTGGGTCAATCGGTTACATTGCTCCCGGTAAGTAACACCCGTGTTTATGTGTTTTTTTAAAAACAATTGCATTTTAAAAACAAAATTATTATCCATTTATAACATTAACCTTTTAAATATTTACCATAATGTATTTTGTCATTCATTAGTATTATCACTAACAATTTCTCTTATACTCGAAATACAGAATACGGTATGGGTAGGCGAGCATCAACACAAGGAGACGTCTACAGTTTCGGGGTCTTGTTGTTGGAGATGATGACAAGAAAACGACCTACTGATGTGGTTTTTGATGATGGTTCAAGCCTGCATGAGTGGGTGAAGAGTCACTACCCAGACAGGCTTGAACCCATTATAAAAGAAGCTCTTTTGGCCTACGGACCAATGTCATGCAGTAGTAAACTACTACACGACATGATCTTGGAGCTGATCGAGCTTGGGTTGATATGCACACAATACAACCCCTCGACTCGACCGACCATGGTGGATGTGGCTCACGAGATGGCTACATGGAAAGAATACTTATTTAGGCCTTCGGATCTATCGACTGAGTGACTGTTTAGTTTCTAAAAGACTAACATACTTAGATACAATTCATTTATGTTTATTGGTGATGTTTGATTGTGCATTATTTACTTGTAGCTTTAGCAGAGAAAAGTTGTACTCAAATTTTAGTGAGTGCATGATTGTATCGCGTCATGAAAATGGACCTGTTGCCGAGTGATTGTATGCCAAAAGAGACTAATGGGAATGTCGCAATAAACTCATTTTTTATTTATTTATTTAGAGTATGACAATGCTTTATAAATATAAAGTAAATTTTACTTTATTTTAGTACATATATTCTAACTTAATTTACAATATTTCTTAATTCTCCATCATTAAGACCAAATCGTGGTCATTTTTGTTAAAGTTAAATCATTACAGCTAATCTAATCTAGCAATACGATACAATACAAAAAAAATATAATATATTATCAGCAAAAATAGTATAATAATGAAATGCATGTTTTAGAAAAAGGTTAGAATGACCATCGAGTAAACCTTATACAATACTAATGATGGTTTTTGCCATGTGGGCAAAATCGATAACTACGTCTAAAAATATGCAAGAGAAGCGAAATGAAAATTTAAATGGTCTGTGACATTGTTAGAGTGAGAAAAAGTACTTGATTTTAATTAAAAAGAAGATAATTTTATTCGTAAAGCCTTGTTTGACAAAACGTTTCGTTTTGAACAGAAAGTCTTGTTTGACACTATAAGTTTCTAGCGTTTGGTTTAAACAAAACGTTTCAAATCCAAATGCTACTTCATATAGTGTTTAACAAATCGCTACAAGTTACAAGCTATCCGCTACCCGCTACCTGCTAATATTGACGAACACGTATATTTTATCTTTACCAGAATAGCTTTTACCTTGGAAGATAAAAAGTTAACTTCAGCTTTATCAATCTTGAAAACTTTCACATTCTTTATAAGATTTTCGCTTCTTAAATACTTTTACAAAATATTTGAATAAAAACATGCATAATTTATGTATTAAACAGACCAATAATGTGCCAAAGAATAAACCTATTCATAATTTTGTAGAACGGCTTACACACAATAGTTTTTTTTTTTTTTTATTATTTTTTATATATATATATATATATATATATATATATATATATATATATATATATTTTCTTTGAGTACGGCTTATACAAACTATTAACGATAGCTATCATATCAGATTAGGATTACAGTTGTATTTGAATGTATTTCAAATTAGTCTATCATTATCTAGTGGTAGGGTAATTGTTGTATATATAATCGTTGATGATTAATGAGGAAGGCAGTGAAGCCAATTACCTTTATGGTATCAGAGCCTTGATTCTTCTCAATTATACCCATCTTCTTCTCGTTCTTTACCCACTTTCTAAATACCAGTCGACACCATGGTTGCACCAGGAGATACTTCCCAACCAGGAGACGCTTCCCAACCCAAAGAAAATCCCAAATAGTTCTTTCACCCTGCTTTTGCTGTTACAAACATCAAAAACGTTATACCTATAATTCTTGATCAATCTGATAATCGCTTTGCATCATGGGTAGAACTCTTCACCATTGTTGCCTGCGCTAATGACGTTCTTGATCACATCAGTACAGAAGCTCCTCGATCTCCTTCCATTGACGATACCACATGGAACCGACTGGACGCCCTCGTCAAACAGTGGATTTACTCTACTATAACCCTGGAACTACTTCAAGCAATCATGCTACCAGGAGCCACCGCACAACAACTGTGGGACCGCTTGCAGGAAATTTTTCAAGATAATAGGGCAACGAGAGCAATTTACCTCGAAGAGCAATTCAACACAACTAGATTGGATTCGTTCTCCAATGTCACTGATTACTGTGCACGTGTGAAGACTCTCTCCGACCAACTTGCAAATGTCGGCAAACCCGTATCTGAAACAAAAATGGTGTTACAGTTGGTTTCCGGCCTGACCCGTGGCGAGTTTGACACCATTGCAACCTTGATTCAACAGTCGGACCCTCTTCCCTCCTTCAACAAGGCTCGATTGCAACTGCTTCTTGAAGAGACGCGACGAAACAAACAAGATCATTCCTCTTCTCAAGCCCTAATTTCACAGAGTTCTGAAAATCGGAATGCCTCAACCAATTCTGATTCGACCACTGCTCGTGAAAAAGACTCCACCGGACGAGGCTATCGCGCCAGTGGCAGGGGAGGACGAGGAAGCACTCGTGGCACCGCTCGAGGCAGAGGAAGAGGCCGCGGTGGTCGTGGTCAACAACAACAGACAAATTGGAATGGCGCTTCCTGGTATCCGCAACTGATGTGGGCGCCCCCTCCCTGCCCGTACCCGACATCCAACACAATTGGGCTTCTTGGTCCACGACCCACTGCTCAACAATACCCACAAGCCCAGTTCGGGAATCAACTACAACAACAGGACCACCAGAAGGCTAACTTAACTTCTGGTCCTTCTCATGGCCAAGGACTCATGACCCACACCGAACTTGATAGTGCGTTCCACACCATGCATATTCAACCTCCGGATGGCTCATGGTACATGGATACGGGTTCTACCTCACACGTCACTAATGACTCGGGTAAAATTCTCAACTATTCTCCTTTAAGTAAACATAAGTATATTTATGTAGGCAATGGACATCGATTACCAATTACCGGTTATGGCACAACCTCTTCTCCGTCCCTACATTTTCCTTTTAAACTCATCGATGTGTCTCTCGTTCCCTCTATAATTAAGAATCTTGTTTCCGTACGTAAATTCACTTGTGATAATCTTGTTGCCATAGAATTTGACCCTTATGGTTTTCTGTGAAGGATCTCATTACGGGGAAGCTCATCACACGATGCAATAGCTCGGGCGACCTCTATCCCATCACTCACGATTTGAACATCAAGTCTTTACCTACCGCCCTTCATACTGCGTCTTCCTCAACTTGGCACAATCGTTTAGGACATCCAAATATTTCCGTTTTTAATTCCTTATGTAATCGTCAATTTATTCCTAGCTTTAAACTTAATAAAGATTCTGTTTGTCATGCCTGTTCCTTAGGGAAACATGTTCGATTACCATTTACTTCCTCCACATCTGCTACATATAAACCATTTGATATTATACATGCCGATTTATGGACATCACCAATTGCTAGTAAACTTCAACACAAATACTACATAGTTTTCCTTGACGATATCTCACATTTTATTTGGACTTTCCCTCTAAAATCCAAGTCTCAAGTATTTTCTATATTTATACAATTCCAAACTTACATAAAAACTCAATTCCAATTATCAATCAAAGCATTCCAATGTGATAATGGCCGTGAATTCAACAATTCTTCATTTCACAACTATGCTAAAACCAATGGCATGATTTTTCGGTTTATGTGTCCTTATACATCCTCTCAAAATGGTAAGGCAGAACGAATCATACAAACAATAAATAATATGATTCGTACCCATCTTCTTCAAGCATCACTTCCACCATCATTCTGGAATTATGCACTTGATGTATCTACCTATGTTTTAAATATCACACCTACTACTACCATCCAAAATTTCACTCCCACTGAAATTCTTTATGTTCGAAAGCCTTCCTTCTCTCACCTCTGCACCTTTGGTTGCTTATGTTACCCTAACCTCACCTCCACAACAAAACACAGGCTTGACCCTCGTATCACTCCCTGTGTCTTTCTTGGTTATCCCTCCAATCATCGTGGATACATATGCTTACCTCTAAACTCATCCACACCTATTATATCCCGACATGTCATCTTCAAAGAAAATATTTTTCCATATTCCAATTTATCTCCATACCGCAATCACTCGTATACGTTTCTTGAACCTGCTGAACCATCCCCCTATCTCACTCATTACCAACGATTCCTTCAAAATCCTAGTCCCACCAACACAACTATCACACCCGTCGATGCCACCTCCAACCGTGCTCCTCTCACCCCTACCTCCGATGCTAGTAATCTACCAACCACTCCACACAACTACCAGCCCATCACTTGAGCCCATCATCGGATATCTCTAACCTTCCTCCCAGCCCCCAAATGGTTGTTTCCCCTCCATCCGATTTCCTCACACCCCCATCTTCCCCTCCTACAGCTCATCCTATGCAAACAAGAGCCAAGAGTGGTATTTTTAAACCCAACCCCAAATACTCCTTCCATACTCATGACATTTCTCCCATTCCTAAAAACCCAAAACTTGCTCTACTTGACAAAAATTGGAAAGATGCCATGCTTACTGAATATAATGCTTTACTTAAACAGAATACTTGGGAACTTGTCCCTAAACCACAGGATGCAAATATTATACGATGTCATTGCCTGTTTCGACATAAATTTCGTTCAGATGGGTCTCTTGAACGATACAAAGCGAGATTAGTTGTTAATGGGAAATCTCAAGAAGTTGGGGTTGATTGTCATGAAACTTTTAGCCCTGTGGTTAAACCTGCAACAATACGTACGGTACTTAGCTTGGCACTCACTCGTAATTGGGAGTTACATAAACTGGACGTCAAAAACGCTTTTTTACATGGCTCTCTAAACGAAACAGTATTTATGCACCAGTCCCCCGGTTTTCATCATCCTTCTTATCCTAACTATATGTGCATGTTACGTAAGTCTTTATATGGACTTAAGCAAGCTCCTAGGGCCTGGTACCAACGGTTTGCTACATATCTCTTGCAACTTGGTTTTACGTGTAGTAAATGTGATTCATCGTTGTTCATTTACACCAGTGGTTCTAGTCAGGCCTACCTGTTACTCTATGTGGATAATATTGTTCTCACCGCTTCCTCCACTCAGGAATTTGAAATGACCGACTTGGGTCCACTTACATACTTCCTTGGCATTCATGTTACTCGCACTAAAATCATATGTTCCTTCACCAACGCAAGTACACAGAAGAAATTATCAAGCGAGCTAAATTAGACATGTGCAAACCTGTTACCACTCCGGTTGATACTCATTCCAAGCTTAGCCTCATGACTGGGGATCCGATTGATGACCCC